ACCCATCTATCTATCTATCTATCTATCTATCTATCTATCTATCTATCTATCTATCTATCTATCTATCTATCTATCTATCTATCTATCCATCTATCCATCTATCCATCTATCCATCCATCCATCCATCCATCCATCCATCCATCCATCCATCCATCTATCCATCCATCCATCCATCCATCCATCCATCCATCCATCCATCCATCCATCCATCCATCCATCCATCCATCTATCCATCTATCTATTAGGCATATAATTAAGATGTTAAAACACATTACAATTGAATTTAAAAGATGATATGTTAAACCCCCATTTGGAGGCAACAGTTCTGCTGATTTTCTTTCCAACCAGCTACTTCATTGCGGTCACCTGTGTCTGAAGGTGTAAATCATCCCTTCACTTTATGTAAAACTAATCGATGGCCTAACATCCTTGTAAAAAAAAAGTCCCGATAATGGAAAGTCTTGTACGATATATTTCCCTCAAGAGATGAAGCATATGCTTGTGCACACACACCTCGAGACCTGCATTTGGCCGTTTATCTGCAGACTGGCGCTGGCTCTGTGATAAATCACCGTCTCGACAGATATCTGGAGGTTTCATGCACGCTCATGAACCTCGCCCTGAGAGAAGAGCTCCACGAGACGTTTGAGTGCTGGGAATAATATCCGTAAAAAGCTCAGAGGAGGCCGGGAAACCTCAGGAAGTAGGCGTTGAGTGTGTTGTGTTGCTAGAGGGAAGGTTCAGATAACGAAAAAACACCTGCAAACTTAAATCTAAAAGTGTAAGAAATCAGAAGCAAGTGTCGCTAAAAGATGTGTTCTATGTGATGTTCACTTGTATTGCCTTTTCCTTTCTAACAGGTGTAATTTTACTTTATTGACATGTTTTCTTTAATCCATTGTACTGTTTAATCTTCAAAGATAATTTCTCTTCTTTAGGATCTTTTTGTCCCTTGTCTTCTTGCTTTGTTTGGTTTTCTTTATTGTTCTCGTGTCTCCTACTTTCTTTTCTCTTCGTCAGTCAAAGCCTTTTGTAAACTCACTTTCTAAAGCTGCTATATAAATAATGTTATTATTACATCGTTTAAACGGTTGCTATTTGATGTTTTCTTTATTCTGATCAGATAAGAATCAGAAGCAGTATTGTGCAAATATGCGCGTACTCATTCTGGAGGCAAAGTAGGAATTCAGAGCAGTGCACTTTGTATACGAGATAAAAAAAAAGAACATCTCACATCGAGTCTTAACTGTCTTTGTCTCCGTTTGAATTAACATCACATCCAGCTCCTGACGTCCCTCAGGTTGTTTGTGTTTCATTAAGGAGTGTAAGTCTTTGAGTTTCCGCAACATATCAGTATTTATATCATCGATTAATCTGCACATCATTTTCTAGATATACTTATAATAATAATAATACCTTTATTTTGGCGGGCGCCTTTCATAACACCCAGGGACACCTTACCGGGGTAAGACAAGACAAACAACAGGAAATTGAATGTTTATTTTTATTTATTTTATTTTTTGTTATTGCCCGTTTGATCTTTAGAATGTCAGAAAATTGTGAAAATGTCCTTAAATATCTTGCTCTGTTGTTCCAAAACCCAGAGATAATCAATTGAATTCGATATGAAAAGGAAATCTCCACATTTGATTGGCTGATTTGAGCATTTTCTGACATTTTGGCATTTAAACTGACTTAATTGGCAATTATTTTTCTGTCTATCGCCCATCGATTCATCTTCGGCAAGCAGACAAGTAGATACTTTTGTTTCCTCTACAAAATCTCTTTCAGTCACAGTCTTCTTGAGGATTTGATGACTTCTACAGTTCTCCACACGTATTGGCTCGTTACAGTCTACCTATTTAATATCTACCTGCATAAAGCACAGTCATTGATCTTTCAATCCCATGCAGTCCAGATTTGTACCATATTTCCATGCTGTGCAAATGATAGCAGCAGCTTGTGAAAGTGTTGTTTCGATACAAAGCATAACTCCAACACCAACTTCTCTTAAATTGCAGTTTTGGATCAGGATTATTTTGTCTCATCAAACAAGTCTTTGTAAAAGTCAGCGGGGGGAAATTGCTCCACCTGACTCTGCGTGCATCGAGTCAGCACGACATGTCGTTCTTGATTTGATCACATGCACCTGGATCTGCAAACAAACGGCATGTTTATCAAGAGAGGTTTTCTTTTAAAACACCAAAAGAAACTTCAGACGAATATCTCGAGTGTCAACACTAGTGAAGCGAAGAAGTTGCAAGCGAACAGATGAGGAGTTTAGGAAGATATGAGGAGAACTTAACAAGATTAGTGAAGCATCAGGAAGAAGTAACAGCAGACATATGTATCGGTGTTTCTTACCTTGGGCTCAGACCCGTCCAGATAATCTAACCCTGAGTGAGTCTCTGCTGTTAAACCGTGAAGAAGAGGCTCATTACGTATTCCTCCGAGTGTAGACTGGGGAGAGAGATGGGGAGGCTGATATGCATACATTGCTCCAAAACCCCAAATAATATGCCACTCAAATACCTGAAACTCGAAACACCCCGGTGGCTCGTTTAAAAGTCGAGTTTAAAATTCAGTTTGACTTTTGGTCATGGGAGAAAAGAGGCCAACAGACGGCTGAGGGTAAAATATTCTTACTTTTTCTTCCAAAGTGACAGCGAAAAGTGGCTTTAATGACACATCACAGATTCAGGAACCACAGGAGAGGGAATACAAATCATCAAAAGTCCTATTAATAAGGGTTTTCAATTAGTTTGCAGCGACCGTTTGAGAAATGCTGCTAAATGTGGAATAATATTCTTGCCATGTTCCAGTGTGTGCTATGTATTTTCCTTTTAGATAAACCCTTGTCAACATGCTCCTATCTGTGGGTTCATTGAGAATACTCTTTATCATTAGCTGAAGATATGCATGTTTCAAAATCCCAGCCTTATTTGTAGAGATGACATTCTTTAAACATGATTTGAAACACTGAATAAACTGGTGTTGGTGTGTTAAAGGAGTGCACAGCGCTGAATGTAGCATAGAGCTCGTTTGGATAACACTGGGAATTGATGTGGGTCACTCTTCAGGTTAATGGAGCTCGCTGCCTTTACCCCCACAGGACCTCATCTTAAAATGGTATCACTATTTATAAATGGATTTCTTTCTGTTTCTCTGGCAGGTCCTGGGAGGGAGATACAAAGAAGAGTGTGCCGGTGGGAGTTACCTCAGACTGTGGAGGGTGGAGAAGCAAAAAGGAGGAGGTCATTTAGGCTGTTATGTGTTTGTTTGTTTGTCAATAGTCATGATAGACCTATAGTGACTCCAAATACATCATGTGTGAAACCTAAAATGAAGATACACACACTTTTAAAAAGATTGTAGTAGTATATTTGCAGCTAAACAAATATTCCGTTGGAAGCAAATGAGAAAGATCTACATGTATCGCAACCTTGACATCCTACCTCCACACACACACACACACACACACACACACACACACACACACACACACACACACACACACACACACACACACACACACACACACACACACACACACACACACACACACACACACACACACACACACACACTACACACACACACACACACGACACACGACTACACACACACTACACACACACACACACACTACACACANGGACCGCAGCAAGGTTAGCCCCCTGTCTTCATCTCTGCACACACACACCCCTCACACACACACACCTCACACACAGTGACGACAGGAAGGTGTGTGTGTCTCTGTGTGTGTGTGTGTGTGTGTGTGTGTGTGTGTGTGTGTGTGTGTGTGTGTGTGATGTGTGTGTGTGTGTGTGCTGTGTGCTGATGTGTGTGTGATGTGTGTGTGTGTGTGTGATGTGTGTGATGTGTGTGGTGTGTGTAGTGCTGATGTGTGTGTGATCGTAAGAGTAGAAGTGTGTGACACAGGCAAACTCGTTAATAAATTGAGTAAGAGGTTACACACTGTCGCCGGAATTAGTTGGACGGGCCAACGAAATTTTCACTGAGTTATTTTTGACGAACTACTAAACGAGATACAACAGACAAGACAAAGGAACAACGTTGTGGGCCCAAGTGGTAAATAGGAGGAAGTATTGGTTGCGACTGGTGGGGGAAGTCAGTATACGAGAAGACCACAATGTATTAAGGGGGAAGGTTAAGAGAAAAAAACTATGAAATCAAATTTGTAGTAGGTAAAAAACAAGAGCTTGTAAAGTCGACGGGAGCAGGAGTAGGTAGAAAAACAACAAATGAGTAGAGAATAAAACAGAAAACACAACAAGGGAAGAAAAAAGAGGAGGAGTTAAGGGGTAGACGAAAAAGTTGTAGGAAAAAAGCAAAGAAGGAAAACAAAAAAAAGAAAGAAGAAACTATAAAAAAAAACCTACGGATCGTTCAGAGTGTCGAAGAACAGGTACGAGGTAGTCCCGGTCCATGGTCGGGTCTGGGTCAAGGCACCGTCCCCCCCCAGGTTGTCTTATGAGGGCGGTCGAATGTCCATTAAATGGGTTAAGTGAGTCGACGGTGGACGGGGGACTTTCTAATAGAAAACAAAGAAAAGTTTAGGAAACGACAAAAGTAACTATAATGTACAAGGTTGTTGGACAACAAGTCCAACGGACGGGGAACGAGTCACCGAGTAATATAGCATCTTAGTATTAAAACGTACCGGCACCATTTACATAAAAACAACAGTATAAAGTCAATAGATGTGAGTTACAGTAAGGCAAAGTTTTCGCACGTTTGTGGTATTAGACTTTTAGGGTTAATTTTTTTTTGTTAACCGCAAGTCCAACGTCTTCGCTAGTAAATGAAGTAGTATACGCAAGGGGAATACTAAGAGACGCAACTATCCTAAATAACAGACGGGGAACACCGACAACACTAAAATAACTCGGCCTAGATGGACGGAAATCTTAAAATACATAGGGCTCCACGCCTTTGAACTGTCTGAGGGTCCTCGTCGGAATGTAAAAATTTACTATTAAGGAAGGACAGTAGTCACAGGAGAACTCTAACTATGGTGGTCAGTTGTGTATTCGAAGGACTGAAACATAAACGTTTTGTAACAAAAAGTCTAGAGAGGCTGGTCTAACTATGAAGATAAACAAATACTAAAAAGAAACACAGGAGAATCTATACGTAATGCTGTACCTGTTCAAGTCGGACTTCCTGTCACCGGCACCCCTGTCGCTACCCCCCTGTCACTGACCTGTACCAGCCCTTAGGGGACAACCTGTCCCCGACGACGACCCCTCCGAAAAAAGACTGGAAGTATGTGAGCCTTTACGTAGGTAGCTGAGGGTGGTCCACCCGACTTTGATGCAGTAGGAAGAGTAGGACTGACAGAGAGTAGAGTTGTGATTTTATTTACAGAATTGTACCCAATTTTGAGGAGGTACTTATTATCTGATGGTACCATCAAAATAAAGAATGAACCTTGTAACCGTGTGTGTGTGTGTGTGTGTGTGTGTGTGTGTGTGTGTGTGTGTGTGTGTCTGTGTGTGTGTGTGTGTGGCCAACATCCTTTCAGCATGTAGGCATTTTTTGCCATCTTTTTGATAAAGAGAAAGTCTAATTTGTGCAACCAAGCATCTCATAATGCAAAGAATGCTGCTTTTAGAGGTAGCATACTGACAAATATACATGTCTGGCATTCTGCCACAGGTCTACATGTATTGGCCCTTTTTCCCCCTCCATGACACACCATAACAGAACTTAAAAACACTGTCTCATGAAATGTAGTCTTCAGCATTTCCTCCTGGATCTTTCCCTGCCAGAGTTCAGGAGGTTATTGTATTCACTGAGGAGTTTTTCAAAGCCATGGACCGAGTCCTCTTCAAGCTGTTCTCTATAAAGACATCTCCACGCTGTTGGTCTTAACAGCAGCCAGGAGGCCGAGCGACCTCTGAGCTGCTCTGTATCCAACCTGCAGGATCTGAGGGGGACCACGAAGGCATCTGGGGCTCTTAAAGTGTCTGAAGGATGAAGGGGTTTTACCCTCCACTAGGGTATGTCAGGGCATTTTCTAGGTCTTGTACATCCTGCTGCATGAATACGAAGTGTCACACCTACGGTCCGCTGACTCTGTAGACTCTTTTAAAAGCTAACCTGTGTGCTTTTATTTTATTCTATGTTTTTATTGTGTTTTATTGTGTTTTATTGTGTTTTTAGCACGTGGCTTGTGTGGTCATTTATTCTTTTATGATTCCTATGATGTTTTAATGTTTTGTCAAGCACTTTGTGACTATGTGAAAAGTGCTTTATAAATACATTTTACTTACTTACATATCTGACGAGGTGTCACTTAGTGTGAGGGACTTCAGTGTCAGTTACAAAGGTCTACTTCCTGTCAGCTGTAATAGGTCTGCTCACTAAAGGATATCAAGTCAAGTATCTCGGTGACGGTCTTCTCCCTGTAGAAACAGCTCGTGTGAAAAGACCTCCAGACATCTTTCTCCTTCAGCTCCGCATCAAGAGGGCGGAGGAGATGATGGGACTTTACTGTAATTGGAGAGAAAATTGGAGAGCTGCCAATCGAGTTGCTTCCAACGCCATCCTTCATTTGTTGAGACTCTGAATAGCGTTGACTCTGTTGGACATCGCTACAAGGTGTGTTGGTCTGTAAGTGGAACAAACCCAGCTAAAACCGGAGCAAAGAGGAAATGGAAAATCCCCCAGTGTGAGAAATGCTTTCAATGCCCGTTTCCCAGCACATTTGAAATGGGACTGCAGCAGGAATTTAACTGCAGACACTGTGCAGCAGAGTTTTATTGCTTTTTTATTCCACTACTTTCATTTCAAGCCATAAAAAGTTACATTTTATTCCAGCGTGGATGCACCATGTCCCTGGCACTGCAACCTTTTCAGTACAGAAGCTACAACGTGACGTACTTCACTTCATTTCTAATTGTCTGGTGGCTTGATGAAGTCGTGTGAAATAATGAGCCTGGCATTCTCCCCCCGGCCTCACTCTGAGGGGCTTTGAAATGCATGTTAAGAGTGTTCTTGATCAAAATGACCTGCCGCCATCCTTTACACTCCAGCGGTGCAGAAACTTGTTTTACTTTCCATTTGCAGCACAGCTCCATCTAATATTGCGTCGTTTCATAAGCTTCGCCGAGAAAGCTTTGAGATTGTCCCCCAGACTCCTCCGCCGCTGATTGATAAGAAATGATCTGCAGAACTTTTGCCACGGCTTCTTCTCTGAGTGAGGGACACAGAATACTAAACACTCCGAAAAGGTCAGTCAATATCTAATTGCTTTGTCAACTCAGTCTTTATTCATGTGTTAAATATTTCATATCGCCATTAAAAATGTAGGAGGCGGGGACAGTTGAGTTCCACATGACGAGGTGTTGGATCTCATTAAGGATTTTCCATAATGAATGACATCTTGTCCTGTCAGTTACAGGCTGCTTAACATGGGAACTCACACCTGCAGGAGAGATCACCTTGTCTCCGAAGTGAAACAATGTGAAACAAAGGAAATGAGAAAACGTTTTATCTTATCACGAGGATAAAAGATAAGAAACCGTGCAGCTGCTGCAGGCATAATAATCCCAGCATTGTCTGTTCCCATCAGGGGAACGTGATAATGCTTTTATTTGATAAGATTTTAAAAACAATTCACTTGTTAAATCTAGGAGGAGAATTCATCTCAATATTAGCAGTTTTGGGACTACTTCTCTGTTCCCTAAGATGATGAATTCACTTCATTTTCTCAGAGTGAGTTGCCCTCCTCTGTTATATCAGCTGCACGCGCCAAAGTCCTGGCAGCAGAAGCAAGCGTGCCGATAAAACACAGAGTCACGCACCGAAGAGCAAACTTTGTCAGCCTGGATTAACACTCTGGCTCCGGAGCAGGAAGGCAATTACTTGTGTTAACACTGATATCCACTGCAACGGCCCTCCAAGGCTGATTTCACTCTGTGTGTGTCTGTTTATGTGAGCAAAAGAGAGGGGGAGATAAAGAGCTTTCCTTCCCTAACATGGTGTGTGTATCGCCCATGGAAGCTTGAATGCAATAGAGACAAACAAACAGTAATGAGGTGACACTGAGGATGTGTGCCTCTGTGAGAGGGAGACGCTAATTTGCACCTCGATGACTTCATTTTAAACTCCAGTGCATTTGAATACGCTATGAACCTCCTTTCAATTACAGGAGAGTGTAGAACAACAATGAAGAGTGCTGCAAAGGAACCGGTAATTGAGGTTTGGAGAGGTCCTGTTTTTAGTTTATACTCAGGCCCAGAAAGAAAGCAGCCTTCAGACTTTAAAAGAGAGGAGTTTTTAGCTTGAGCATGGATGATCGTTAACTTCCTTTTTACACGGTTTCTAAGGGGATAGAACTGCATTGGAAGTTTCCACATGACGGCAACGGTATGTGCGTTTTTATAGTGTTGTTACGTCCTTACACTTTACTCATGGGAGCTGCTCGGAAAGTTACCTGACAAAAAAACCTTTCCCCAAACAGGCTTTCAGCTTCTCTTTTTGTTTCCCAAACTTTTCATTCTTTTTCTTTTTTACTTCAGAGCCAGTCAGATGCTGTGCTGCAAAGCAAGGTCACCCCCAACACCTTTATTTATCTGTTAAGGCCTCACACTGGCAGACCCCACCCTCACACACACACACACACACACACACACACACACACACACACACACACACCTCATCATCCACCTGATTCACTGCATGTATGCCACCCTGCCCATGCCAGGTTGATTGACAGCTGATTACGTTGTCTGACCTTGGTAGGTTATATTTCACAGACAAAAAGAAAGCAAGTGTGTGTGTGTGTGTGTGTGTGTGTGTGTGTGTGTGTGTGTGTGTGTGTGTGTGTGTGTGTGTGTGTGTACGGGAGGACAGGCGTCGGTGGTCACTGGTTGAATAGCCGCTGGCCCACAGAGACCGACGCCTGTCCTCCCGTACACACACACACACACACACACACACACACACACACACACACACACANTGTGCTGGACATTGGAACAGTCCTTCGGCGGCACTCGATGACGTAGTATGCTTGAAATAGTGGCTCTGGAGCAACCTTCCTCGACATTGAGAAACACCCACTCACTGCTCCCCAAATCAACACAAGTGTCTAGTGGCCATGGTAAAAGAGAAGAAGAATGTTAAAGAAAATCTGCATATACGCATTAATTTCGGCAGACATTTTTTATTGGTTGTATTTTTTATAACAATCAGCAAACAACCTACTTCAGGCACATTAACAAAATGGTGCACGCAACACAACATGGTGCTCTAACATACACATGATAAAGGTGGTTATTTGTGTACACATTATGTTGATTTTTAAATAACTTTTTTCTGTGACTCATTTCAAATAACTAATCAATCATATTTTACTTGTGTGTCCTCAGTTATCCGTTACCAAATCAGCGAGTGTTGGGATTCTATAAGGATCCTTATCTCTCTGAACGCACATCAGGTAAGAAATACGTTTAAAGAAGAGTGTGTTTTGTTGTTGGCGTTTAAAAGCCTCCAACTATCTTTCCACAGGATAAACTCTGAGCTCTGTCTTGTGTTTTCAGATCTTCCAGATGTTGTTGTGGACGGAGTTCTGCAGGGTCTTTATCCTCGGGACGTCCGAGTCAGCTTCACCGCCCCCGTCCTCACGGAGCCCGACCCCAGCGCTTCTTTAGACGCCTGAAACTATAGCTAAATGTTAGGTTTAATGTTTATGACAATACAGTTAAATACACAAACTAGCAAGAAGGACAACTAAAAAGCCATTGGTGCATGATACAGGGGGAATGGGTCACATGGAGGATCGTTTTTCCGAAATCAGCGGCTCCAGTGGGATTTAAACCCAAAACTCAGGCTTTGTATTTCCGTTACGTTATCTGTGGTATTGTTCAACCTTTTCTTAGCCTTTTTAATATCACTAAAGTGAAGCCAAATCCCAACATTCATCCTGAAAATGAGTCACTAAGTATGTTTTTATTCCGTTTAATAAGCACACAAATGTATTTTTATGAAGATGTGGAAGTGAAAGGAGGCCACAGGCAAACGTGTATTTTATTCTTTCAAGCCATACTGTAGCCTAGTTTAATTTAGTTCAAATTTAGAATAGAGGAGCATGAGGAAGTGTAGAAAATTACTTGAAATCCAGGCGTGAGATAGAGGTATTTTTTACATGTTGTTTTGTCACAGTTGATACTTGAGTATAGAAGTTCCTAACATTCATGTACTTTTTGTAGTAACTTGAATTTGTTGAACCTAGTTTTATTTTCTAGTGTTAGGTCAATCACAAGGAGCCTTTGATACTGAAGCAATGTTTTAGTGTCAACAAATGTTTGGGAGTTATTTCTACTTTTGTATGAGGTTGTTTGGATTGACATTATAATAAAAAATCCGACACGTCTCATCCTGTGTCTCTCTATTTCAACCTGAGCTGTAGAATATTGTTCATTTTTGAAAAACTGGTACGAGACATGTGGACACACATCTTAACTTTTAATACGTCAAAACACATTTATTTAGTTTGGGGACACTAGTGAGGCAACCAGGTCATGCTTTACCAAAGTATTTCCCTGTGGAATTACATATGAATGATTAAATAGGCAACAATGAGAGAAAAAGATTGCCCAGAGCCTTGTGCAAGTTAATACCAGTAAGAGACAAAAAGCATTGCAAAGGGAATCTCATGTTAAAAATCCAAAACGGTTTGACCTTTTTGTAAAGAATCTGCACATTCATGTCGGATCACATCACTTGTAAACTGAACTGCAGTTTGTGCACACAGCGAGACAGATTTAACACATATCTTACTGGAGTTTTATTCCAAAATATGTATTGCTATGTGTATTATATTGCTTGAAATGTTTTAAAGGGGACCTATCATGCAAAACACACTTGTTGATGTCTTTTATACATAAAAATGTGTCCCCGGTGTCGGGGGAACTCACGCAGCGTCAGAAAATAAAACCCTCTCTCTTTTCCTCCGTACCCAAATCTCTAAAAACGGGGCTACAACGGAGCTGATCCAGATTTGCGTCCGATATGACGTAATATCGGAAATGTAGGCTGGCTTTACCCCCACTAGCCTATCAGAAACGTTGCTATCAGAAACAATGCCCGACTGTTTTGGACGTAATATGGTCGGTTGTTTACATTAGCATCGCTAACACTCAGAGCTAACCTGTACAGGAGAGCATGCGTGTGAAGAAGCAGGAAATAAAAAGGAACTCACCTTGTGGTATAACCGGCAAGAGAGAAAGCCTTTGAGCTCCATACTGTTTCAGAAATAATCCTTGATAATCCATGATATGGCGTTTCATCACCGCAGTATTTAGTTTAGACCAGGAGCTGCCGGGTCCCGCATGAGCTCAGCCCCCTCCTTTTTTATTTCTTAATCCTTTTTTTTTTTTTTTAAGCTTTATACCCAAAATCAGCACTTTTGAAACAGGAAGTGAAATAGAGGGATATGAGGCATGGCTAGAACGGGTGATCTGTTTGGTATTTTGAGCAAAACATTTCATAGACATGTTTTTTATATATTTGTATATATCTGAGACCTATGCTATTGCCTAAAAATAGCATGAAAGGTGCACTTTAAGTAAGTGAAAGTAATGTATAATCATCCTTCAAGACATCAGTTTAATGCAAAAGAAGACAAAAAGATATTGAATTTGTAGTAAAATTCAAGCTATTTTTGCTTGGAAAACCCCAACATGTGTCTTTTTAGTGACATAGAACTCTTAAGAATATAGGGAAATGGTTTGGTTCCTGAAAGCATCTTCCTAAAACTATTTTTAATAGTGAATGATGATTTCAGTTTGTGATGTCATAAGGTGTAACTTTTCAGCTGCCTCACCTCACCCTGGAGGCAAATATATCACAAGCAGCAACACGCAGCAGAACAATAACGAATATCTGCCCGAGGCACGAAGAAAGGAGCTTAAGCCTTTCATTATGTTGGATAGTGTTGGTTTAGTGGTGCTTTACCAGGCTTCCTGTTTGGTGAGATTTAAGATCTGGTTGGACTTGTTCACTCTGGATGTATAAAAGGATTGGAGTGAAAACGTACTCTGTAATTCTTGATTCTGAGTCATTGTCTATACTACAAGTATTAGCATGTCTGGTGCTAGTGACAAGTAAAATGTTAAAATGTATTCAAATTCAACAAGGGCAATGGAGGGTAATGCTTGGCTGAATTATGCACCAGACTTAAGGGAGTACTCCAGCATGTTACAATGTTTGGACTTCACAACCTTGAACGAGAGGGTAAGCAGGTTACTTTGGCACAGCATTGTGTATGACTTCAAATAAAGCTGTCTTGAACAACTTGGGTTTTATTTGACCAATGTCCAGCAAAGTTATTAATGTGTTTCCCTCAGTGTGCCTTTTACCATGCCCCTATGCCAACTGTGATGAAGGCGTTTTCTTCACACAGCACTTTTATACATTTAGGAGACTTGTGAGAGAAACATTTTTCTTCAAAGAAACGTTCACGGTGCAGCAGAGGCCAAGATATGCTGACTTTTTGATGGGTCAATCTCTTAAAACACTGCATCCTACATTTCCCAAAATGCAACCCAATAGCACATTTCATTAAACCATCCTTGCATGGCAAATGTCCTACCTTAAGTATAAGGTAACCAAATATATATAAAAAAATACCAAAGAAAAGTGACTGACTAGGGGAAAGTAAGACGCAGTAGGCCATATGTATGACAGTTGTTACGACCCTGGGTCGTTATATCATTTGTGTGCAGATATTTCTTCCTCCTCCTGTGTCTGTGTGGCTGCGTGTGAGTAAGCAGGCGGTGCCCGGTAGCTGATTGGCTGCCCAAATACCAAATGTTGTGCTGCGCCTAGGTTCCCCTAGACCTGGGCGTAACACAGTAGATAAATAAAATCCAGCCATCAATAATCATGATTTACGCCTGAACTTTTTCCTGCGTTTCCATCCACAAATTATTAAGCACATTTTCAAAATTGATTGTAAAAATGTGAAATACCCTTTAAATCGTGCAACCCTTCCAAGTTCTTTTGCTTAAACTTTAAGTATCAATATCAAAATCTACTTAAAGTATTCATCATGCAAAGTGTCCAATAAATCATATATAATGCATGGCTTGAATATAACAATTAATTGTTCATCCCTTAATGTTACAGCTGGCTGGGTAAAACAGAAAAATATTTGGGCATAATGAATCAAGGAAAACATTGCCACAGAGCCACTGGAGTCACATTTCTTAGGGTGATATTTCTATAATGCACGATTCAAAAAGTTGTAATTTTTTTAAGGTTTGTTCTTTCCTTCACCATCTGTGTTCTTCACACTTTGTTCTGGGGATGTACCCTGCTGATGCGCATGCGCAGAGCGTGAGGCGGAAGCTACTGTCAGTCATTGCCCCTTCACGTACCGTTGGACCTCTTCTTCAGTTTCTGTCACTGCACCGGCGGAATCTGCACATTAAACCCTGTTAATGTGACTCACCAGGACACAGTATCCTCTTCCCGTGCAACTGAACTTGAAGCCTACACAATATTATCGGTACGTGCCGCTAACAATTGCGAAGCTACTTCTATTTTTAACTAAAAGGCTCTTATTAAAGCTGAGTGTATGCAGAGAAAAGTATCTTGTCTCGAATCTAAATTAGATTGCATGCTAAGCCTAGCTTTAGGCTAATTGCTACTGACAGATTAGCTTTGATTAAGTGAAGCTAAAGACTCACTGTGTTGCTGCTGCTAGCATGTGAGCTAACAAATATTGTGTACACGTTAGCAGTAACTTTACCCCTGCAGGCTGGAGTACCATAAAGTACATTCTTGCATAGTTAACTTGTATTTTAAAGGGCAGTACCACTCAATGCATATCATTAGCATTAGGGTGGTTAAAGCACTCCTTCTGGGTAGCTGCTGGTGGAAGAAGTACTAACATCCTTTTAAATAGTGAAAGTACTTGCAGAATTGTTCCTTTCATTATGTCATGCAAATATAGAATATTAGTCTATCCTAAACGAATAAATACATGCAAGCAGTTGCGAAAAGTAGATAAGTACTCAAGTAGTGTTATTTTTTAGATACTTCACAATACATCCATTGCATCTTTCTACGTTTACTCCATTTTACTTCACTTTATTCATTTATTTGAACTCAATTTACTTGCAGATTAAGAATATATTTTGAACTATACATTATTATTATAATGCATTATCACGACGACTGAGCCACCCAGCAGCAATATGTAAAGTATAAATATCGGATATAATATATAAAGAATTAAGCTCAACCTTACCAGCTACAACTCTTGTAGCAAAAATAAAGCATCATTCATTATAATCCAGAAGTACAGTAGGTACGATTCCAAAATGGGAAGATGTTGTTGCCAATGCTTTTGTACTTCTACTCCAATAAGTAATTTTACTTAGTCATATCTAAATCATACATTTCTGTTTCCTAACTGTATTATTGTTTCAAGCAAGCTGTAATAAAAGACTACATCCGTTAGTAGCTCTAAATGTCCATCACACAATAACAAATATAGTATATACTATAGACTTTTTGTTTTGTATTTTAGTATTGTATGTATGTAATGGAACATTATGTTGCATTGTTGGAGGAGCTCAGGTCAGAATAATTTCATTGCCATTTCTACACTGTAGCTTTGTGCATATGACTATAAAACCTTTGAATCTTGAATCAAATCAGTCATTTTGATCCCTAATAGCTGGTGACAGGTTGTGTTGTGTTGCAGCAGTGTGAGCATCATGTGGAGGAAGGCTTCAGCGGCCGCCCTGCTGGCGTTGGCTGTGGGATATTTCTACCTCGGCGGCTCTGAGCTGCCGGAGCAGATCCTGACGTACATCGGCCTGCCGAACATCCAGACCCCCCCGGAGAGCCAGAAGGGCCTGGAGCAGGTGGTCTCCTCCGCCTGGGAGACGCTGATCACTCTGCCCACCCGGCAGTGGAGCAGAGTGGCTGTAGGGTGAGTCACAGTGGGGAACTGTGGGTGATATCAATCAATCAATCAATCAATCAATCAATCAATCAATCAGGACTAAAACCACCAGACTCAGGGACAGTTTCATCCCACAGGCCATGAGACTGTTAAACACCTGAACTTTAGAAAATTCATCCATAACATTCATCTGGTTGTAACTTATATCAATATTCTAATTACTTGTATCGACTATTTCTATTATATTATATTTCATTTTATTTACTTGCACTATTATCTGATTTATTGTGTTGCACTGTTGGAGGAGCCTGTGACCTAAGATGTTCATTGTCATAACTACACTGTAGCTATGTACACATGACAGTTAAAGCCTTGAATCTTGAATCAATCAACAACTTTGTGACGACATTGGTATGATGTATATTCTCAAAAATATTGTGATGTGTGATATTGCCCAGCCTTAGTCGATGGAGATCATTACACGAGGGATTTAAATACAATTTGAAATGGATAAAAAAGTGTTTCATTTCAAACACACACCGCACAGATTCAGTGTAAGACCATAGAAAATTGTTTTTCATGTTATAATTTCCCTGTGTCTTTAAAATTCCATGACCTCTTTAGATTTGAAAGGGTTTGTCTATTTATGCACAAACACTGTGACACACATACAGACACCAGACCAACTTTATTCTAGGCCTTAAACAGATGCTCAATCCTCCAATGTTGGTGATATAGTCCGATTACTCTTCAAACACACCATTCAAAAGTTTAACTATCAAATAACAAGTTGTATGTGGTTCTCTCCTGTTGTTCAGGGTGAATGCCTGTGTGGATGTGGTGGTCTCCGGCGTGGGGCTGCTGCAGGCTCTGGCTGTGGACCCCGGCTCCGGCCTGAATCACGAGGTGTTGCACTCCAAAGAGGACCTGAAGGAAGCCTTCATCCATTACATGGAGCGCGGAGCTGCAGCCGAGCGCTTCTTCAGCGACAGCGAGGTGTTTCAGAGGATCGCACGAGCAGCGGCAGAGTACCCCGGGGCCAAGGCAAGGACCATTTACTCTGCAAGCTCCTTTGTTGTTGTTGAATAAAGTTTAAAAAGATCTTCTGATAACCTTTTGTCTTCCTGCAGCTGTACGTGGGAGGGAACGCTGCCCTCATTGCTCAGAAGCTCGCCACCTACCCTGACCTTGTGGTACAGTACCATGTTCATACTTCTGTTGTAAACTCTTAATCTTTCGCTTCATTAATGAGCTATTATATAACCCCCGCTAAAGAAATATGGGATATTTAAGCTGGTCTTTGAAATCTATTTCAGGAATTTAAATCTTTGACATTATCTTAGCTTTTTTGGTTCAGTATATAAATCCTAAATTCAGATCATCGAACTACAAAAACATAAAAATGGGCGGTGGTGGCGAAGTCGATAGGGACTTGGCTTGGCAACTGGAAGGTCACAAGTTCAAGTCCCGGCAAGACCAAGTGCTACCGAGGTGNACGTCATCGAGTGCCGCCGAAGGACTGTTCCTATGTCCAGCATACTTGGAATTCTACAGAGCCCGGCGTACTTCGTGGCGAGAAATTTCGAGGCTGCACCTGTGTAGACTCCGCGGTCTTAAAATCCCCACAATGCTTTGCACACGGACCAATTTGGACAAAAATCTGTGGCGGAAAATGTATGGCGGGGCCTCTCATGTGACGCACACCTGCATACTTGCTAGCCTGTTCCACTCTTTGGCCGTTTCTCAATCTCGAGGATACTGGCTTCCAAGCCAATATTTCAAGGATGCTGAGTCATCGAGTGCCGCCGAAGGACTGTTCCAATCTCCAGCATACTTGGAATTCCACCGAGGCCGCGTCCTTGGTTTGGGGGAAATTTCGAGGCTGCACATGGGTAGACTTCGCGTCCTTAAAATCCCCAGAATGCTTTGCGCACAAACCAATTTCAAAAACCCTTGCGGAGAATGGCTGAACCGACGCAGCACACATTTAAATGTAAGTATGTAGTGGCGTAGAACATGTGTTGGTAAATATGTTACTTTGTTACATTTTTTTGTTATCACCAAAACTGTGTTCCGTGAAAGTAAAGCAAGTTCATAATTAGATAGACATCGTGAGGTATTTATTTTCGGTACAGTTTATGTTGAAACCGTTAGAGAGAGTGGCACACTTGTTAGCCTGTTCCATTCTTCTTTGTTTTCAGAAGCCGTGGCTTGGTAGCATACTTGCTTCGTTTCTGAAGGAAGTGACTTGGAAGTACGCGACTACCAAACCAGCATCCTCGAGACTGAGAAACGGCCTTTGTTTTCCGAATGCCAGGAAGTATTCTTGCCTCGCTTCTGAAGCAAGACGCTCGGAAGACATGTGCTACCAAGCAAGCGTACTCGACATTGAGAAACACCCTGTGTGTCATTACCCACTTAAAATGGAGGCGGACCCGAGGATTCACCTACGCTCTGACACAGGATATAAAGGAAATACTAAAAAAGTAATCTTACCTGTAATCCTGACTGTCCAATTCGTCAAGTGATCTGAAATCAGAGCACATCATTTAGAGATTTACTGCAAGGTCACTCTCAAAATACAGGTTATTATACAACTCTAAAGAGAACTTTATCATACAGAGAATATTTGCTTTATAAAGAGAATCATTTTAACGTTTTCAGACTTTAAGTGTAAACACATTGACATTTAATTTTATCTCGCTGCACTGTCATCACTACTACCTCTGCTTTTACCACTCTTATTTATTTGGTTATTTGTGTCTATTTGTGACTGCAGTGAGAGTTGCCAAAGACATTTCTTTGTACTTTGTATGATGACAATAAAGATATATTCTATTCTAATCCCAGTCTGTATTGTTCTACATAATTAGTAGTTATGTTTTATACACTTATAAGTGCAGTGAAAACTAAAACTAAATCTCAGGATTTTAACTAGTGTACTGTAATATTTATATGTATTTCTTCTTCCTTGATCATATGATATTAAAGAGTCATTGATGCTCTCCACACCACAGTGTGCATTGCTCCCAATCCAAAAACAGAGGAGCTAAATAAAGCAACGTGTCATACATCTGTCAGTGAGGGGACAGAGGACAGGGGACTCAGGACAGAGGACAGAGGGATAAGGGCAGAGGGCTGAGGACAGAGGACAGGAAAGAGGGCAGAGGGCAGAGGACAGATGGCAGAGGGCAGAGGACAGATGGCAGAGGACAGAGGACAGATGGCTGAGGACAGAGGGCTGAGGACAGAGGTTAGATGACAGAGGGCAGAGGACAGAGGGCAGAGGACAGAGGGCTTGGATGACAGAGGGCTGAGGACAGAGGGCAGAGGACAGAGGTTAGATGACACAGGACAGAGGACAGAGGGCAGAGGACAGAGGACAGATGGCTGAGGACAGAGGTTAGATGGCAGAGGACAGAGGACTTACTCCATGCTGCTGACCTTCATCCCGGTGTGGAAGTGTTTCAGATGCAGGAAGTCCAGCAGCACCTGCGGCACGTCCTCGTTCTGATAGATGATGTCCTGCAGCAACGGAGAACAATACAACTTGTGAATATGAAATAGTAAATGTTGGTTTTCTGCGGCTACACTTTGGCAGAGTGACATGGCATAATATAAACAGCAAGGTGATGAATTAATCAGGTGGCACATGTCAATATTCGGAGATGCTCTTGTACATTTCTCGTTTGATCTCAATGTTGAAAATCTCTGGTTTAAGTCAATCAGATAAAAAGGCTTGAACTAGAACAACATGTAGATCACACATTACACCTCTTTTTATTCATTTCAGGAGGAGTCGAATACATCTACCTCTGACTACTGAGAATCAGAGACATTCATTTTACTCATGTACAGTTACATTTAGCAGGCTTCTCGCTATGCAGTTTGAGATATTAACAAATACATAAAACCAGTTATGAAAACAGTAATAGCCACAAAGCAAATACAACAATAAAGGGCATTAGTTACATTTAAAGTGAGTTTAAAGGTTAAAAGCTAACATTTAAAAGTTGATCGTACTTTTACTGCTGTTCGAAGACTCAAGTCTCAGAAAAGCCAAATCTTTTAAACCTTACAGAAGTATCTTTTACTTTTTCGCGATGTTATTACTTTCTCTTTGTGGTTATTCACTTATTTCACCTGGTTTTAATAATCTTTCATCCGGTTACAGTTATCTCTTTTTCTTGTTCCTTTGAAGCGACTTCTGTTTTGAAAGGTGCTAAACAATCTACATTAAATTCTGTTTTGTCAATTGATTCAAAGTTCCCCGTTAGTTACACAAAAAAGATATTCCTGCTCAAGAGCAGTACACAGACTTGCTCTTAAATGACATTGGCGGCACATTTCTACATACGAGTTTCTGCAGAAGCCTCTCTTGTTACCTGGATGTAGTCCTCCAGCTCCTGCCTCCTCTGCTCCAGAGGCTTGGTCCTCAGGTGGGGGTTCCTCTTGCTCGGGAGGTCTGGAGTCTGGATGATCTTCCTGAGCTGCAGGACACACACCATACAACTTTAACCTTCAAATAAACTGTGATCAACAGGGCCCAGGAGTTCAAAACTTTTAATCTCAATCAGATCCGATCAGATTTTGAAATCCCATTTTTTGTGATCCAGGATCAGACAAGTCGGCCAAATGTTGTCCCTGGAGTTCAAAGCAATTCAGGATAGGATCACCCTGATCCAGATTACGATTTTTCAAGATGACTAGATCCTGAATATCAGTGCTTTAATCCTACCGATCGCCATCTAGTGGATATGAAAAATAATACAAGGAGACAAGAGACCACATCGCAGAGACATGTATAATGTCTAATTATATTTTTTAAAGGTGATGACAGATGATGGACTTTTTTTTTGTTGAAGATATTTTTACTTTAATCTAAATTACATTTTTGATTGACAATCTTTGCTGTTACACTTTTATGAGCATCAACATTTATGTAATCAACATTTGGTTGAAAAACAAATAGGCCACCACAAACGTGAGCAAAAATGGAGGCTAAAAAGTGTGTATTATTTCAGTCAACAAACGTTGCCATCTTATTTAAATTGAAACATATTTTAAAATAAATTGTACAGTACATTTTGCTCTGGTAATCCACTGGAAATCCACCCCTCTGGTGGGATCAGGGTAATCCAGTTTTTTGGGATCTAACTGATCCCAATCCTGTGTTGTCGGTTTGAACTACCCGTTTTGAAGATTTGATCCAGATTAAAGCTTTGATTGGATTTCCTATTGATCTGATCGGATATCAAAGTCATCCTAATCCTGTTTTTTGGTTTTGAACTCCCCAAAATCCAAATCTGATCTGATCAGATAGGGATTAAACGTTTTGAACTCCTGGGCCCAGGACATGATGGCTCGAATGAATAGGTACTAATGTTAAGGTTTAAATAACAACCTTTTTTACAACAAGAAGCGCTTTATTGAATGGTTCCCCTCTTTTGCACGTGTAGGTGTGTGAGCAGGATTCTTATCTTGCTGTTTGTTTCACACTATTCAACTGATGTTAAGCTGGCTATCAAAACACTTAGAAATGAACCACTAAGGTATGAAGCATCTATCTAAAACTATTACAATAATACGACAATTTCAACACATTTAGAGAGCTGTCATCTTCTTGTCCAACTCATGTGGTTTTAAACAACAATACACATCTTTTTAGAAAGGCAAGAGACCACCACAGTGAAGCCTCCTTACCCTCCTATTATCTGTCACAAACAACATATCATCAAATAGCATAACACACAGTGACTACTATAGGAAACAGTGGTTCAAAAAGTCTATTAATTAGGACTGCGGCTATAAGGGACATACCTTTCTGTGGAGAGTCTGGAATTCGCTGCTTCTTCTGAGCACAAAATGTTTCCTCCCGTGGAACAACACTTCAACTCGGAAAAGCTGTAAACAGAAGACACATAAATGATTTATTCCCAATCTTTCATTTAGTAAATTAGTAGTAAGTCCAAAGTAATGTTTGGAGACGGGAAATATGTCAAAATGATAAGCCCAATATATGTGTTGCTTCTTCATCAACATCACATTCATGAAAAGGTAGAAGTGTGCATCACAATACACCATCATCACTTCTCCACCAGGAGGAGGCACAGAGCTTCAATTACATTTCTCTTCCACCATTAATACAACACTTAAATATAAATATACATGTCATGTACACTAAGATGTAAACTACTATTAATCATGTCTATCTGTAAACAAATACATTTCTTTATGAACTTTTAAATACAAAGACCTGAGTGACACATTTAGTTAAAAAACTGTTCTGCAAACATACCAAACCAATACACAGTATGAAAACACATCATCTGTACACTGTATATGAAATATTTTGACAATTCTTTAAAGAAAACTCCCTTGATTAATATCTGAATGTTGACGTTCATCTGAACTGTCCTTGCAGTAGACACTGTAAACTAAACTAGAAGACTAAACTAACTAACTAACTAGAAACTGTAAACCACAGGAGTGCTTTACACTGTCCGCTCTTACAGATGAATACATTAGAGGGCAACCAAACATCAGCAAATAAGAAATAATAATAAGAGCATTGTGCAGCTGGAGAGAAATTGAATGCTTAAAGATGTGTGTTGAACAAACTGCAGGGCGACCTTTGTGGAGTTAGTACTTACTTTTTCAGTAAGGTAAACAAAAAGAAACAAAGTCTGACGTCTTGAGTCTGAGATGATCAAACTGAGCAGAGGTCAGTTCAGCACACTGCAGCACATTCCCCAGGCTAGTGTCAATGTTTGCCCACTATTTTAAAATGTATGTGTGAATGCAATTTAATACACATTCATATCGTGGTGTCAGTTTTTGTTAAAGTTAAACGATGTCTCTTCAGCTCCCTGAGTCTGAGTTCATTATAGTGCCATTAAACTAGCGTCACAGAGAACTACAGTGTAACAGCCTTAATGAGTTTACCACCGGAGAGTCTGTGGTTCCCAGTGTCTGGTAGTGTGTGTGTGTGTGTGTGTGTGTGTGTGTGTGTGTGTGTGTGTGTGTGTGTGTGTGTGTGTGTGTGGCAGTATAATGTCACCAACATTTTACAGCTGTCTGCATTGTTAACTGTTTGAAAAAGGAACCAAATAACTTTTGTAAGTACTGAAAGTAGAAAAGTACTGTTCTAGTTCTCACGTAATGTTTTACATGTACAAAAATATTTCAGAGGAACATAGTGTACTTGTTAGCTCTTTAAGATTGTTTAAACAAAACAAATGGTGAAATTATAAAATGTGATGATTTGTTATAAATTCACCTACCAAAGCTTTATATAACAGTTCATTCATCAACAACTAACTGAAACTGACTTACTGGCGACATGTTGATGCATTGATAATAATAATATCCATAGTATAAGAACAACACAGACCATTATGCATAGTGAGTGCTTTTACTTTTGGTATATAAAGTACATTTTGAGGCCAATTCACAATGTATAGAGTGTGGTATTTTATTGTAACACAGTAAAGGATGTTGAGGGTGTTTACACACTTTACATGATTAAGTAATTCAGTATTCTTATAAACATGGGCTCAAACCACCAACAATAAAATCATTCTTATGCAGAATAATGTATAATATGGATTATAAGTATTGACCCATTCATGTTAATTAATTGTAATTAACCAAGTTGAAACCATCTTTATACTAATACAACATCATTTAGCAGTTCATTTGTAGTTTGCAGTCACTTTAAGTAACCAAATCACAGTGGAATAGAAAGTACAATATCTTCCTTTATTAAAGTAAAGTAAGAATTAAAGTAAGTAGCCTAATAGATGTTAAATGCTTATGTGCACGTAGCCCAAAACTGTACTTACAGTAAGTACAGTGATTGAGAAAATATACTTACCTTTTTCACCACATTATTTTAAGGCATATTCAAATGCACAACTCGATCACATTGTTATATTTAGTGTTTTTACTATGGATGTGTACTTTTTGATTTTTACTTTTATTAACGTGTAACGTATATTTTTTTAATGTACGTTTTCCTTTTATATGCACTCCCTCTTGGCTGTAACGATGTAAATGTCCTGATTTCGGATTAATACATTATTTCTGATTCTAACTTTGATTATTTAAGCAGTTAGTGCGTTTCCCCTGTGGGAGAACTGGGAGGAAACGTGACGTCACTCTCACTCGTCCTCTTCCTGCAACACCTGGCTCACCTGGCGTCGCACTTCACCTTAATACACAACTACAAAGCCAAAATAGCACCGCAACAAAGTGATAATGGTGGCTAACAACGTGTTTGACGCTGCTGAAAAGAGCGAAATCAAAGTAAAAGTCAAGCTGTGTGCTCACCTTTCTGGATTTCCCCGCCTCATCCACTTCCCTCTCCATGGAGGGGATCGATACTTCAATCATCGGGAATTCCTCCTGCCAAACCATCGGAATGATCAGCTGTCTGCGGGTCACTTCCTGTAACTGAAAGGTAACTCCACTCGGGTTTTCCGCGACAGGAACAGAACAAATAAACTCTCAGCCTGTCTGTCTGTCTGCCTGCCTGCCTGTGTGTGTGTGTCTCTCCAGTGTTCTTCCTGTGCTCCACCTCCGCACTAATTGGACACACACAACCAGAGGGTGCGTTCAGGGACGTTAAAGGTGCAGTCCGACATTTAGGAACAGAGTCCCTGCTACTGTCTGAAATAAAAAAAGGGAAGTTTACATGGACAACACCGAACTGGAGTTTACTGTGACGTTCAGTGGGGGCAAGCAGTGGGCAAATTCAACTTTTAGTCAGCGGTATAATTTCATACATTTGTACAAGCTTGCTGTAGTTATACCTTCTGAGTATTTTAACTTACACTACTTTATACTTCAAATAGACTACGTTTTAGAAGCAAACAATGTGAAAAAGGAACAAACTAACTTCATACTTTCTTCTTCTTCTTTTTTATACGTCCAACTACAGAAAAACCTCTCAGAAATAAATAAAAATATTTAGCAACATACACAAATAATGCTTTATGTATTAGAAAAGTACTCTACTGTAAGTACAGTTTTTCTTACACTCCACCTAGCTGAGTATTTTAATTTTATGCTACCATATACTTCTTATCGAATACATTTTAGAAGCCAAAATTGTACTTTTTATTCTGCTGCATTTATTTCAAAGCTTTAGTTACCTTACAGATTCACAATATTCGCTAACACAACTTATAAATGCACATTTACAAGACCAAGTGCTACCGAGGTGTCCCTGAGCAAGGCACGGTTCGTTCCCTACACTGCTCCCCGGGTGCCGTTCATAATGGCAGCCCCCTGCTCCTAACACTAGGATGGGTCAAATGCAGAGAAACCATTTCGTTACATAGTTTTTTAAAAACAAATTATTTAACCAGATAAAAAGCATTTGAGATACAATCTCATTTACAATGCTGACCTGGCCAAGAAGGCAGCAACGTTACACATAACACAAACATGTAAAATACAGAGAACACAACTAAGAAAACAAAAGACGAAAAAGCAGTTAGGACAGTAAGAAAGGTACACTACTTATTACTACTACTAAAGATATTCAGTTCAATATCATATATTTTTAAAAGCGGAAATCTTTGAGATGCTGAATTCAGACATTTCTGCCATTTNTCCAAGACCAAGGACCATAATAAAAAAGACTCCTTTTTCCAGCCTCAGTCCGCACGGCAGGAACCTGGAACCGTATCCAGGCACTGGATCTGAGGTTGTAAGAGTCACAAACTGGGGCAGATCTGGTACATATGTAGCGTGGAAGCTTACCTAAAATGGCTTTATACATGAATAAAAACCAATGCTGCATCCTACGCATAGTGAGTGAGGACCATCCAGTTAGGCTATACAGTTTGCAATGATGAGTCCTATAGGGTGCATTTGATATATAACGCAGTGCAGCATGGTAGAGTGGGTCAAGTTTGGCCAGAACAGTGGGACAGG